CTTCCATTTCTAAACTCATATGAGGCTTTTGAAAATCCTGGATTCTTTTTTTGGTGGAACTGGAAATTGAATCCAGAGCCTTCACACTGAGCTACCTCCCCAGCCCTGTTTTATATTTTTTATCTTGAGAGAAGGTTTAAAGTACCAAGTTGCCCAGACTGGGCTGGAACTCATGCTCCTCCTGCCTGAGCTTCCCATGATGTAGGATTACAGGAATATTCCACCACTCCTGGCTTGAATTTTTAAACAGCATGCATTTTTCCATTTTCTTTATTACTGTTCTCACACAGCAAGACAAATTAGCAAAGTTATACTGTCAATCCCCCGATTTCTTTAGTATTTCTTCTACTACCTTGAGAGACTGAAGATAATTGCAACAGCTTCCTCAGCAGAAAACAAAACACATTATCTAATAGGATTCAATCTCAATGGACACTTAACGTACAATTAAAGCGGTAAAGAAGAGCAAGGACTATATGTTACTTTGAAATAACTTCACAAAATTAGAGACCATTAATCCTGATGTCATATAAGAGATCGTCTTTGACAGCCACCTGACATTTTTCTGTGTCATTATCAGCATAAGAAAATCAATGTCTAAATGGCGAATAGACTTCTTCCAAATCACATTAGCATTAACCAATTAAGTGCCCCAACTTCCCACTGAATTTTCATTCTACCATGGCCCAAGTTCCAAGCTGACAAAGTAGCATTCATTTGTTTGTTTACTGTATTCTGAAGGGGGATATGATAGACAGATAAGATGAACCAATTTTAATGATTAGTCATGATAAAAAGTACTTTCACTTATCAGAACAGGAAAATACTTTCAGCAAAAAACAGCAATGATAAGCACTGGAGGTTTGTAAAAGAACACAAGACATTCCTTGCTACTGAGGCGGCCACAGAATGTGGCATCCTTTTCCTGTTTTATGACATCCATTAAGATTTCTCACACTAGCATACTTTGTTTTCCACATCTTCCTGTCCCCTCCCCTTCTTCTTTTTCCTGTGCCCTATGCCCTAGTTCTCACCTTTCAGGCTACAACCAGTTTTCTTAGACTCACATCATTTTAGGGACTGGGGTAGGGTGGGGTGCAGAGCAGAGGATTACCACCCCACCCTAAGTTTGAGCTGTTAGGGATTGAACCCAGGCCCTTGCACATGTTAGCCAAGTGATTTACTACTGAGCTACACCCCCAGCCAGAGACCATCACCTGAGATTCCTTTTTGCAATCTAATTTTTTCATATCTTTTCCCTTAATGTGGTATAACTGACAAATAGAAATTGTATATATTTCAGATGCATGACTAGATGCTTTCATATATGTACACATTATGAAATGATCACCATAATGAACTAGATAACCCGTTCCTCATCTCACAGAATTGTTGTCCATGGGTGTGTATGGTAAGAACACATATGACCTAACCACTTGGAAATTTCAAGCATATAATATTGTTAATTATACATACTATGAGGTGAGGTGCATTAGATCCTCAGAACTTATCCATTTGCATAACTGAAGTTTTGACCCTTTGAACCAACATCTTTTCCTTTTCCCGACTTTCCAACCACCTTTCTATTCTGTGCTTCATGAGTTTAGCTACTCCAGATTTATTCACCTGTAATCAAGAGAGTGCTATATTTCTCTTTCTGTTTGACTTATTTTCCTAGCATCATGTCCTCGAGGTGCATCCACATTGAGACACCTTTGAATAAAGGGACAGATCTGGGGAATATCACTTCCAGTGTCCTGAGTCTTTCTCCCTTTTATCATTCTGGAACTTTAGGTTGTTTAACTTTATTTAAAAATAGTGTACAGACAGACACGGTGGTGAATACCTGTAATACTTCTGGGAATCTGAGATTGAAGGATGGACATTTCGAGCTCAGATTGGGCAATTCAGCAATGTGATGAGACCCTTTAAAAAGTTAAAAAGGGAGGGAGGACTAAGGATGTCACTCACTGAAAAAGCCTTGAGTTCAATACTCAGAACTGGAAAAAATACACAAAATAATTTGTGGCAGTGCCTCAAGGTTACCCTTCTTATATGCAGCAACATTTTCTAAGCCTGCAGTATGCCAAGCGCTAATGGGAAATTCCTGCTGAAAGTCTGCTTTTTATGTTCTGTTTTGCTCTCCACAGTATTTGCCCTTGATTTAGTTGCTGCTATTTAAATGTAGTGGAGAAATGTTACAAAAGTATAAAAGACAGAGGAATAAAAACCATTTAGGAATAAGAACTATGATATGAAAAAACACAATGGGATTTTGGGGGCTTGTCTTTGTAGTTGTCAATATACCAGGATACACACACACAGAGAAAGGGTCATATGAAGATCCAACATGGCCCCTGAACCTACCTGCAAGCCAGGAAGAAAGCCTCACTAGAAACCATTTTTTTTGGTTGGTTTTGGTTTTTTTTTCCAGTACCAGGAATTGAACTCATGACCTTGTGCTTGCCAGGCAGGAGCTGTGCCACTGAGCTAAATCCCCAGGCACACTAGAAACCATTTTGGTAGCACCTTAATCTTGGTCATTCAGTGAGAAAGTAAAGTTTCTGTAATTTAAACTACCCCATCTGTACTATACAGTGACAGAAGCCTTAGCCGACTTATACAATCCTGAAGAAGAAAAAGTAGAGGACACACAATAATTTTAAGTCCCTGGAGGAATATATCTCAGATTGGGTAGAAATGAAACTTAATGTGATTTCAATTATAATAAAAGATTTTGCCTTCCTAAAGGAAAAAAGGTCACCTTTTCTTTTGGTGATACTAGCATTAAACAGTTTGAGACCTTCCTGAGCCTTTAAAATGCTACTGTTAACATCTTATAGAAGAGTCATGTATGTTCACTACACCCAAGTTACCACCGAGTTGGTGAGAGACCATCCTGTAGATGATGGAAAATGAAAACAGCCAAGTACCAGTTAGATGACCTATCAAGAACCAGGTTGTTTAGTAATTCTGAGAGTCATCCTCACCCTCCCAAGGGACTGAATTGGTCATGGATCTATCATCTCTTTAGGGCAAGAAAATGTCCTTGATAGGACTAGCTAGACAGTTGGCATAATGTCCCTTGCTGTACCATAAAGACTTAGGAGTTAACAGATCATAATTGTGGTTGTGATAGCCCATTAAAAGATAGACCACTCCATTTTGAAAATGGATGCAGTAATCTTGAATAAAAATTAGAGCAATTTGAAATGGCAGAATGGAACAAAAAATAATGTTACCAGAAATAAAAGAATGGTTTTACTTAAGGAAAAACTGGAATACAAAGCAAAATAAATAACATGTTCATCAAACAGTTAATATAATCACTGACAAGGTATTGTATTGAGTTCTAGCATATATATGTATATATATATATGTATATATAAATCTCTAAAGGA